CCGCTCGGGCGCCCGCCGCCGCGGCGCGAACCTCACTCTGCAGCCAGCCAGACAAAGCGCCAGCTCGCGGGCCCCTTCACCGTCTCCCAGAAACGGGTCTTTGTCACATGTCGCTGGGCACCCTCCCCAACACGCCTACATATGCCCACACACCCACACTTCCCCGCACCCACGGGCAGGGCCGGGCGCAAACCCGCGCTGTTGCTGAGACCCTCGCGTTCACAGACACACGCTGAAGGTCATAACCGTTCTGCATCACCGAGTCACGTGGAGGGTCCCCAACAGGCACGGGCCCTGGGGGGGCTAGGGAGGCGCCCCCGGCTGGGTTGCCGCCTGCCCCTCCCTCTCGTTGCCCCGCCCGTCCCGCTTTGCCCGGAGCTCGGAGCCAACCGGCCTCCGCCTCCGGCCGGATTGGTCTGCGCGGCGCCGTTTCCCAGCAGGCCGGCGGTGGCACGCTGTTTGAAGCTGTGCGTCAATGGTCCTTTCCGCGCCGCAGCCCCGCCCTCCTCCTCTGCTCTCGCCGGGCTGTGTCCCGGGGAGGGCGGTCCTGGGACAAGCTCAGGTGCTAGGTGGCCGCAGGAAGCTGGGGTTTGGATGGACTGGCTGAGGTCTTGGAACCAGGTCAAGCACCCTGGTCCTAGTTTGTGCCCGCCGCACGACTGGTGTGACCAATTGGGGAGCATGAGGAGTCATACCCTCCCACAGGCTTCAAGGCATCCTCAGACTGCTGAGGTGCCCCCTTCTCTTCCTACAGACCCGATCCCCGCCCTCCATGGTGGGGAGGGGAGGCTGGTAGCAGGAACTCTGGGAAACCAGAGACTGGAATTCCAGCCCTGCCCGGCCCAGCTGTGTGGCCTTGGGCAATTACTTAACCACTGAAACAGACTGAGGGTATTAATTGAAGGTACTTATGCGCTTGGTAGGGGTGAGAGGAAGGAAAACCTGCAGCTTGAGGAGCTTAACTATCAGAAGCCAGGGTGCACCATGGCCACTGCCTGGGCCTCAGCTGTTGCATTTGTAAATGAAGGTTTGGATTCTAGCCATGTCAGCTCTGATGTATGGTGGCATCCTTTGTTTTTCTTCTCCCCATCAAAAGTGTTTCCATTTACTCTGAGCATGCGTGTTTACTAGCATCTGCCATTTGCCACCCTGTGCTGGGAGCCAGATGTGCCTGGTTCTTGCCCCCATGGAGCTTCCAGTACAGAGGGAATGACCAGCGTCCAATAAATACAAAGTAGAGCTATTCACTTAAAGGGAAATGCAGGGGCTGGAGGACAGGGGAGGCCTCTGAGCGTCCTTACCTTTATTTGGCTCTAAGTTCTTTAAATGGTTTAACAGGATGTTTCCTCTCACAAGTGCCCTTGGAGCACTTAAACTGTCCCTGTTTTGGGAAGGGGCTGCTGCGCTGTGGGCAGACAGGTGGACCCATCAGACCAGACAGGGATGAGGCACTGATGGCCGGCCCCACTCTGCGATGATCAGTGATGCCCAGTGATGCTGGTAGAGGAGGGAGCCTTTCCTGTCCAGGCCTCTAGGTGCTAGGAGCCCTTGGGTAACAGGTTCTCTCTCAGAAGGGTTCAAGCTGGACCTCAAACTCCTGTTGAGGATTGCAATAGAAATCCTGAAAGGGTAAGACATGGAGATGCCCCCTTCATGTAGCCATGTGGCTACAGGACATGCTCTCGGAGACCCGCCTCACAGTCATGGGGTCTCCTGGGGTCCCCATGTGACTCACCCTGCCCCAGCTGTTAGAGAAGCACCTGGCACAGAGATCTAAGCAGCTCAGATAGCCTCCTTGTCTCCGAAGAGGAGACAAGGGAGTGAGGGATGCAGACCAGCAAAAAATGATAAGGCCAAAGGATGGGCTTCCCAACAGCCGATCCCAGAACTTACTAAAAGGAGATCACTCTGCTCCCTGAGAGGTGGGAGGGAAGGACAAAGTGGCTTTTCCAGTATAGACATCCAGGAAAAGCTTTCTAGGCAGGTTCAAAGGTGTGGAGTGTGAGAGCAGGAGGCTCAGTTGTGTGGCAAAGGTGGCCATGATGAGGAGACCCATTGGAAGGTGTGGCCTGAGCTGGACATGAGGTCATGGAGTCCAGAGATGGCCACAGGACAGTCATCAAGCTTGATCAGTGACATACAAGAGGGGGTTGATGGAGCAGGTAGCAGTTGACTGAGCATAGCAGGTAGCTGGCAAGGCACCCAGCAGGAGGGAACCTGGGTTTGGACTTCTGAGTCCCATGAGGGATGTATAAGTAGATGCCAGGAGACAGTTCCACCTTTGGGTGTAGGCCCTGGAGACAAAGACTGACTAGATCCTGAGGCCCAGGACAAAGCCACACAGAGTGGGTAGGCCTGAGCAGGAAGAGGAGACCGGAAGAACAGGACATCCCTGCAGGCCAGGGAGAGAGCATCAAGGTGGGAGTTGTTAGCAGGAGGAGGGTGGGAGGCTGCCCACTAGATTTAGCCAGGAAGGCTAAAGAATGTCAAGAGCGTGGGTGTGTCAGAGGTGGGGACCTCTTTCAAGAAGAGTGGCTGGTGTGGGGGGTGGGGCGGGTGAGAGGCTGGTGCTCCTTCCGTGCTGCTGTAGAAAAGGTTGAGCCAGTTCGGTCATGGGAAGGGAGGAAATGCAGGTTGCCAGACCCCAGAAGCAGCAGGAGGGGGTGGCATTCAGCACATGCTCTGGGTGAATAGGATGGAGGGAGTGGGTTCAGCCACTGGCAGCTTAGGCAGTCTTCCAGAATGTGTGTGTGTGTGGGAAGGAGGGCCGCTGAAGCTGTGCTGCTCCAGGATGGCACCTGCAGCCTCTTTTTTTCTTTCTGTTCTGTCCATGCTGCATGGTGACACCCTCCTACCCACCTCTGTCCTACAGACCAACATCCCCTTCCTGCAGAATGTGCTCAACAACCAGCAGTTCCTGGCAGGCACCGTGGACACGCAGTTCATCGATGAGAACCCCGAGTTATTCCAGCTGCGGCCTGTGCAGAACCGGGCCCAGAAGCTGCTGCACTACCTCGGTCCGCCCCACTGCCCTCTCCCCTCCCCATACCTGCCTCTGGCCCTCTGCCCCTCAGCCCTGCCCTTGTTCTGATCCTGCATCTTCCTTGCTCCTCATCTTAGGGATCCTCTTTTCCATCCATGTGGTCCTCAATAGGTCTCCACTGCCTGGACCCAGGAGTCCGTGGCTTTGGAGAGTACAGGGGCAGCTGGAGAACCGGGTGTCCTGGAGGAATGCCCCCATCCCTGAGCCCACCTACTCACATGGCCCAAATCAATCTCTTCCCAGCCTTCCCTGACCTACTGCCTGCTCTCTCCCCCAGGACACGTCATGGTGAATGGCCCCACCACCCCAATCCCTGTCAAAGCCAACCCCAGTCCCGCGGACCCTATTGTCCCTGCAGTGCCCATAGGTAAGAGATCCATTCTGCCAACTCATGGGGAATATGAGAGATTGTCATCTGCAGGATGGACATTACTGTCTTTGTATGCCCTAGGCCCACCCCCAGCTGGTTTCAGAGACATCCTTCTGCGGGAAGGGCCAGAGGGCTTTGCTCGAGCTGTGCGGAACCACCAGGGGTTGCTGCTGATGGACACGACATTCAGGGATGCCCACCAGTCACTGCTGGCCACTCGTGTGCGCACTCATGATCTAAAAAAGATCGCACCCTATGTTGCCCACAGCTTCAACAAGCTCTTCAGCATGGAGAACTGGGGAGGTAGGCTAAAGGAGGACTCGGGTGTCGGGCAGTGCTGGCAAAAATCAGGCCCCTTGAGTAGCCAACCCTAAAGGTGCAAGCCTCTGGGGATACTGAGGAAGACCAAAGAAGCCAGCTGCAGTAGTGCACACCTGTGATCCCAGCTTTCAGGAGGCTGAGGCAGGAGGGTTGCAAGTTCTAGGCCAGTCTGGGCAACTTAGCCAGGCCTGTTTCAAATTTTTTTAAAAAACATTCTTATATATATTTTGAGTTGTTGATAGACCTTTATTTTATTCATATGCCGTGCTGATCTTAGGGATCCTCTTGTCCATCCATGTGGTCCTCAATAGGTCTCCGTTACCTGGACCCAGTGCCTCACTTGCTAGGCAAGTGCTCTACACTGAGCCTCAACCCGAGCCCTGAAGCACCCTTCGGTTCAATACGCATTACAGAGAGAGCAGAGGGGGAGGGGGAGAGAGGGAGAGAAAGAAAACCAAAGACTGAAGAAGGCACTGTGCTCCCTTGTTCCACAAACGCTGACCAAAACCAGCTTCAGCCAGGCCTCTTGCTGGGCTTAAGGCTTCAGATCCAAGATCCAGGAGCTGGGCTGAGCATGCTGCAGGCACAGTCATGGCACAGAGGAGCAGGGGAGGAGGACCTGAGAGATGAGGAGGCAGGCACCAAGGGAAGGGACAAGTGAGCCTGAGCACCCTGAGCACCAGCTGGGAGCATGAGGGAGCAGGGGCTGAAGCTCAGGCCACAGAGCTACAGCGTGTGGAGCTGACCTAGACCTCTCTCCATCCCTTTGCAGGGGCCACATTTGATGTTGCCATGCGCTTCCTGTATGAGTGCCCCTGGCGCCGGCTGCAGGAGCTCCGGGAGCTCATCCCCAACATCCCATTCCAGATGCTGCTGCGGGGGGCCAATGCTGTGGGCTACACCAATTATCCCGACAACGTAGTCTTCAAGTGAGCCTGGGACAGGGTGGGCAGACACTGCTGGTAGGGCTTTTGGGGTACCAGGCCACAGGGCAATGGCCTATGCTCCCCACAACCGGCTAAAAACCAAGTGTGTGTGGCTATACCCTGTGGGGCTGCTGTTTGGAAGTGTCATGAAGTGCAGAATTGTTATGGAAGAACCCAAAGGGCTTCTAGATCACTCATGAGCCAGTGGTTACCTTGTGAGGGCCACCCAGTACAGAGCTGGGGTTCAAACTCAGGCCTCAGGACTCCTTGTCCTGGGCGCTCTCCCACGGCCCTACTCCTTGCAAAGCAGAGAATCCGCTGATCCTCCAGCCCTGGGCATCCCAATGGCTACATGGCACTTGACTACCATAGGATGCAGCTCTGCCAGTATGGATGCATCGGTGGTGATTCTGCCTGCCCAGGCTGCCCTGGAAAAGACCTTGTCCACACAGTTGGGCTCCTATTCCTCTGTCAGGCCAGACTTCAATCCCTAGGGGCTGTAGAGTAGCCAGGAACCAGAGAAGGAAATGCAGGGAGCAGGTGGGGCTCACTCCTTGTTTCTCACCCACTCAGGTTCTGTGAGGTGGCCAAAGAGAACGGCATGGACGTCTTCCGGATCTTTGACTCCCTCAACTACTTGCCCAACATGCTGCTCGGCATGGAGGCGGCAGGCAGTGCTGGGGGTGTGGTGGAGGCTGCCATTTCCTACACAGGCGATGTGGCTGACCCCAGCCGTACTAAATACTCGCTGCAATACTACATGGGCTTGGCTGAAGAGCTGGTGCGAGCTGGCACCCACATCCTGTGCATCAAGGTGCCAGGCCACTTGCCCATCTCTTGCTCTCTGTACCACCCATAATGTCCCCCACATCAGGCCTCTCCTTACTATGTCTCTCCTCCCCACTTTCTCCAGGACATGGCAGGGCTGCTGAAGCCAGCAGCCTGCACCATGCTGGTCAGCTCTCTCCGGGACCGCTTCCCTGACCTCCCACTGCACATCCACACCCATGACACGTCAGGGGCAGGTGTGGCAGCTATGCTGGCCTGTGCCCAGGCTGGGGCTGATGTGGTGGATGTGGCAGCTGACTCCATGTCTGGGATGACCTCACAGCCCAGCATGGGTGCCTTGGTTGCCTGTACCAGAGGGACTTCCCTGGACACAGGTAGGAAGAGGGCAGCCCATGGCCATGCCCCTCCCAATTACAGCCACCATCAGCCTAGTATAGTCTGGCACACCTAGAACCTAAGTACCCCGTGGTCCTGGGAGGAACCCTGGGGGCTTAGTACCTTGCCAAGCCTTCCTGATTTTGGCCTCCCTGCAGAGGTGCCTTTGGAGCGCGTGTTCGACTACAGCGAGTACTGGGAGGGGGCTCGGGGACTGTACGCAGCCTTTGACTGCACGGCTACCATGAAGTCTGGCAACTCAGACGTGTATGAAAATGAGATCCCGGGGGGCCAGTACACCAACCTGCACTTCCAGGCCCACAGCATGGGACTCGGATCCAAGTTTAAGGAGGTCAAGAAGGCCTATGTGGAGGCCAACCAGATGCTGGGTGACCTGATCAAGGTGAGCCGGGCCCAGTGCTCTCACCTGACACACAATCTTGTATACTCCTCCCTGGGCCTCTAATAAGATGCCTGCTCTCCTAACTTAGAGACTCTTCTCAGGTGACGCCTTCTTCCAAGATTGTGGGGGACCTGGCCCAGTTCATGGTGCAGAATGGGTTGAGCCGAGCAGAGGCTGAAGCGCAGGCAGAAGAGCTGTCCTTCCCCCGCTCTGTGGTGGAGTTCCTGCAGGGCTACATTGGTGTCCCCCATGGGGGGTTCCCTGAGCCCTTTCGCTCTAAGGTAAGCAAGGCCCAGCATGCTGTGAGGGTGGGAGCTGGACCTGCAGGAAATCAGGTCTGACCCTCTGCTTTACTCCCCAGGTGCTGAAGGACCTGCCAAGGGTAGAGGGGCGGCCTGGGGCTTCCCTCCCTCCCCTGAACCTGCAGGCACTGGAGAAGGAGTTGGTAGAGCGGCATGGAGAGGAGATTACCCCAGAGGATGTGCTCTCAGCGGCCATGTATCCTGATGTCTTTGCCCAATTCAAGGATTTCACTGCTACCTTTGGCCCCCTGGACAGCCTCAATACCCGCCTCTTCCTGCAGGGCCCCAGAATTGCAGAAGAGTTTGAGGTCAGTGGCTCTGGTGCTTATCCACCCTGTCCCAGCACCCCTGCCCTAGAGCTTCAGATTTGGTTGGGTTCTCTCCCAGTCTCAGGAGCTTTGGGAGCAGAAAGGACCCTTAAGAGAACAGGAGCTAGGCCTTTACATGTGAGCAGCCAAAACCCAGGGCAAAAGACTTCCCTGTGGTGGGGTCAGGGGCCTGCTCTCCTTATTGCCCTCTGCCCCAGCTCTGGGCCCCCACACCCTCCCTGCAGGTGGAGCTGGAGCGAGGCAAGACACTGCACATCAAAGCCTTGGCTGTGAGTGACCTGAACCGGGCTGGCCAGAGGCAGGTCTTCTTTGAGCTCAACGGGCAGCTGCGGTCCATCCTGGTCAAGGACACACAGGCCATGAAGGTGCGGCTCCCCCAAGACCAGCCAGATGGTGGGTGGGCTGGGTCCAGTATCTCATGCCCCTTTTGCCCTGTCTGTAGGAGATGCACTTCCACCCCAAGGCTCTGAAGGATGTGAAGGGCCAGATCGGAGCGCCCATGCCTGGGAAGGTGATAGACATCAAGGTGGCAGCAGGAGCCAAGGTAGTCAAGGGTCAACCCCTGTGTGTGCTCAGTGCCATGAAGATGGAGACTGTGGTTACTTCGCCCATGGAGGGTACTGTCAGCAAGGTCCATGTGACTAAGGACATGACACTGGAAGGCGATGACCTCATCCTGGAGATTGACTGATCTTGCCCAAGACTGGCACCCCATATCTTCGAAATAAGCTGTGTTGCCAGAGCAGGCCCAGGCCAGCCAGTGGCAGGAAGGCCTGGCCCTGGAGGTCCTGTCTCCAGTGGGACAGCAGAGCCATCACCTACTGAGGCCCAGTCCCTGTTCTCCACTGGTGGATAGTTGCTCACATATTCATCTCTTGCCAAATAAGATCTTCTCCTTGTGGGGGACTACAGGTGGGGAAGCAGGTGGTCTTATGACCTGGGGGTAAAAGCTTAGGGGGTCCTAATTCCTGGCAGGGGAGACTTAAGCCCCATGTCTTGGGAAATTTCCTCAATAAAACTGGCTTTTCCCTGCCCTCCACGCTGGGTTCTATGCAGCAGCCCCAGCCCAGAAGCAGAGTGGGTAAAGCTCTCTCTCAAACTCCCCATGGGCAGACCAGTTGTTTTTATCCTCCTTGGAGGGTAGCAAGGATGACAACTGTGGCCATTTTCTGCCACTACTGAGTGCCTATTATACACATACCCCCAAAAGGATCATTGTTACTAAACTTGTTTAGGGTTTGTTCTAAGCACTGGGTAACTATTAACTGCCCACCTTGACACCAATCTAGTCACACTTTAGATAGCTTTTCCAGGGCTCCACAATTACAGAGAGACAAAAAGAGACCAAATCCAGACTCTGGCAGACCTGCTTCCCAGACACACTGTGACTAACCTCCTACCTCCAGTCACTGTAGAGCTAAATACAAACAGGCAGCACCTCCCGGGGCGACCCTAGGGAACGGGACCACCACAGAGATGTTTGTGATGTGTTCAGTGTGAGGCTGTTGGTGGGAGGTCAGCAGCGTCCCTGGATCAAGAGTCATAGGTCCTCCCCTGCCCATCCAAACTGGCCATAGAGAATCCTGAGCCTCAGTCCCTCACCTGCCATGGGGACAGTAGCCCTGGCTGTATCAGTGCCCTCTCGTTCCTCCACCATGGGTGAAGATTACAGGCAGAGGTAAGCAGTTCCTGAACAGGAGAGGAGAGGGCTGATGGAGGAAATGCTGGACTTTGGGGAAGGGGAGAGTGTCCAGATCTGCTAGCTCCCACAGGGAACCAGGCAGGAAACAGCACCCTGCAGGCCTGTCTTCTGGGTGTTCTTGCGGTTCTGGTCATGGACCTGAATTGAGCAAGGCAGTGGACCCAGGTTCCCAAATGTACCCTCTAAAACAGGCCCCTGCTCACTCCTCTGTCTCCAACAGCTGCCACACAGGCTGGGGAAGAGGAAAGCTCCTTATGAGGAACAAGGTGTGTGACGGTGATGTTGACCTTTATTTCAATTTTCTAGTCCTGGGGATTGAATGCAGAGCACTTTACTACTGAGCTACATCTCCTGTCCATTTTCTATTTTTTGAGAAAGGGTCTTGCTAAGTTGTTTAGGGACTTAATAACTTGTGATCCTCCTGTCTCAGCCTCCTGAGTCACTGGGATTACAAGCGTGCACCACCTGGCTCTGAGACTGCCCTTTGGATCTAGGTGAATATGATCTTGTCCCAGCCAACCTGAGAGTGTCAAAGGGAAGTGACTACACATCCATTTCCTTTAACCACCAACTTCAAGAAAGGGGACTTTGGGACAAATTCCTTGAGTACAGAATGGGACCTAAAAGGATATTCTTTTAAGAAAAAGGGGAAGCATTCTAAAAGTGAGGTGAGGGACAGACAGAACACTAGCACGTTCTAAGAAAGAACCTCTAGTTACCAGATGGCTTGGTAGAGTCCCTGCTGTTCTTGAGTCTGTAGCCTTTGTTCTGAGTTTCTTCAGTGGCTAGGTGAGGCACCGTGGCAGTGGTCAGGTGGAGAGAATCAGAAGCCTTCACTTCTGAGAAATTTGGAGAGGGTTCCTCTTCCATTCTGGACTGATTTCTTGAAGGCCTTGGTTGAGCCTACGCCCGAACAAAGGCTAACAGTTCTTTATCACTAGGGTTAGGACCATGGGTCCCACTCCTTGACCCCGATAGTCAAGGTACGGGCCTAGGATGAACAGGGCCCATACCTGCAGTCTCAAACCCATTTATGCTAGGACTTGGGGTGTCGTTCAGGAAGGCAGAAGCCATGGCCTCAGCAGCCAAAGGTCCCTATCCTGTCCTCTATTCCCAGGAAATGCCTATTAGGATGAAGTGCCCAAAGGGTAGTGTTCAAGATAGTGGGGGGAAGGGTGGACACACTCCCATAAGTGGCCTGAAGTGTTTCCCCAAGACCCCAAATAGATGAATTCCCAAAGGTTCAAGGCCATGTTACCCAAGTTAAATCTCTTTAATACCCCAATACAAAGTTCTGATGCAAAAAGACAATGAGAAAACCCTGGGAAGTTTAGGGGAGGGGTTTTATAAATAAAAACCCCTGAGCAGCTTTTCAGAGGCAGAGCGGGGCAGAGGAGCTAGGAGAAGCAATAGTCCAAAGTGAGGAAGGGAGTGCACAGCTCCTAGGACCTGTCCCTTGGTCCCCTCCCAGTTGCTCCTCGCCCCCTTTCAAGAGGGGCTGCATCCTTTGGATATCTGCTCCTTTCTCTTGGTCCCTGGGATTCAACTAGCTCTGGCTTCAATCCCCTATAAAAATTCCTGAGATCTCGGGGACCCTGGCCAGCCCCTCCCTGCAGTACCCCTTGATGGGGAGGGGCCACGGAGCCCATTAGAGTTCACTGGAGTGTACACAGGAGTGAAGGTCAGGAGCACAAGAGAGCCTCTGAGTCCCCTGCCCGCTCCAAAAGCACACAAAGGGGAAGGCTGCCGTAGAGCTTGGGGTTGGTGAGGGGTTGGAGTAGAAGCAGGAAGAGTCCCACACCCAGGGCATAGCCTGCCAGGAGGGGCCGCCTCTGCGGATGTTCCAGGGCAGCACACACAGCTGGGAAGCCCATGTAATTGCAGAAGGAGTGGCAGAGAACAGGCCCAATCAGGTGTCCTGAGGAGAGGAGACAGTACAACTTATGAAGCAGCCCTATTATCTCTTCTGGCCCTTCCAGGTCTAGTGACCCTCATCCCTCGAAATAGGAGCTCATTGGGGGTGGGGGGAAAAACCCATCCACCCACATACCATGGCCTCTGCTTCCTTCCACCTCTCAGACCTCACCAAGCTGAGGGCCCTGGCTCAGCTTGTCTCAACGACTGTGGTAGAAGAAATTTTGTTGCTCCTAGAACAACACAGTATTCCCATTCTCCCACCCACTCCTGTGGGCCCCCAAGCCCCTGGAGACCCATGAGATACTAAGGACCAACCTGTGCGGATGAAGAGGAAAGCAGTGTAGGCACCGAAGACAGCTGTATAGGAGAACTGGAACGCTGGAGACGGGAGGCTTCGAGTGACCACACCTGCACACCCACCCTGCCCCAGCACTGCCCACCCATCAACCAGAGACCACCCCCTTCCCCCAAGACAGTGGCCACCTGTCCTACCACCTACATCTGACCTCTGCACCCCAACTCTCAGTGGTCTCTGCAATACTATATAGTCCTCTGTTTCCAATCCTTTCTTTAGAGTGGCTATTGGGGCACCCCAACTCAGGACTACCCCAGGCAAGCTCTCTAGGACTCACCTGCAGACAAGAAGATGCTCCCCACACTGCTCTGGCGGAAACGCAGCTGCTCAATAATGTGGTGAAAATGGGCTGCCAGGAAGGCAAAAACCAAATTTTATCCCTCTGACCTTCCCTCCAGGCCCACTCCTCACTCCTAGCCCCATTCTCAGGTCTCACACTGGGAACATCTTAGGAGGATCAGGTTAAACAGACTCACCAACTCCAAAGAAGAGTGGGCAGGTGAACACAGCAGGGCCCAGGCCCATGCATGGTGCTAACATGGGCAGCATACAGGCCCGGAATACCAGCTCCTCTGTCAGGGGCGCAATCACTTGGTTTCGCAGCCAACGCATGTCTGTGAGGCAGCGGGCCCAGGAGCGAGGGGCTAGGAAGCAGATTCAGTACACACAATGAATGACTAGCTATTGAACAGTGAGACCCCAGAGGTCCTTTCCTCAGAACTGTATTCCAGCCAAGTGCAGATCAGGCATCAATATTTCTGAGAACAGGAGTGAAGAAGGAGGCAATCAAACTTTACCAGACCTAATGCAAAACAATATCTTGAGATGATTAAAAGGGAAGGCATCAGTAGCTGAGGCAGGACAGCCTGTTGTAAACTCTAGAGACATCAAAATGTAACCAAAAGCAGTTCTGCTTTCAGGAAGTCAAGGTTGGAAAAGAGGCAGATAATACTCTTCAACCCACAGCAAATACTGCTGGGATCCAGAAGGGCCTCCTTGGCCTCTAGGAACCAACTCTTAGAAGACACCCAGCAATACAATACAATTTTACTGATGAGGAAACACATCTCATGTCTCCTATTCAGATATAACCAAGAGCCCACAGATTCCTGGCTTGGACTGCCTGTGCCTATTTTTTTTTTTTTTTCTGTCTTAAAGACTCACCAAGGACCACCTTCAGCCCATCTGCTAGATCACAAGGGCAATCCAGAGAGAGTTGCATCAGTGGGCCCAGAAAAAGGATCTGGGAGCAGAAAAACAGCAGAGATTAAAGGAAATACTTCCACCATATTTACTGACCTTACCCAGACCTTTGCCCTTGACCAGCTTCAGGAGACTTGGGGCTTCCTGAATTCTCTAATTTCCCATCTGTGCATACCCAGGACCCTAGGGCCATATCACAAATTGTCTCCCATCAGCCAAAAAGACAGACACAACCAAGATAACAAAACGGCTACAAAGGACACACCGTGCTAGTAACAAAGAACAGAAAAGAGATAAAGCTGTAGAACTCACCATGGTCAGCAGCAGGGGCAGCAGTGCTGCTGGGAAAATGCCCTCCAGCCTGAAGCCCATCAGGGTGAGCAGGGATGTGCCTGGCTGAGCCACAGGAAAGGGGGCATCAGTCTTGCTCTCTCCCACAAAGACCCCTGAGTTCATTCCCCCTTTGCACTTTGTCCCGCCTCCTTCGCACCTGGATGCCCGTTAGTTCCCTCCAAAGCAGCACGCAGAGGGGTGAGAGACTGGAAACCACCAGGACACTGGTGAAACGCCGCTTGATGACGGCAGGGTGGTCCCTACGAGGGTGACAGTAAGTTCAGGGACCCCCCCTCCGCAGCCACCACCTGTGAGCGCGGCCCGCCCCCCGCTCGCCAAAACTCCGCCCGCAGCCCCGCCTCTCGGGGGCGCGGGTTCCGGCGGCGCGCGCAGCCCCCGCACCTGGGCAGCTCGCTCTTCCAGACGTACAGGCTGCCCACGTAAGAGCAGGCAAGGCTGAGGCAGGAGAACACCGACACCCAGCAGCACAGCCCGGGACCCGGGCTGCCCAGCGCCGCTGACTCCGGCTGCCGCTCGGGCCGTGAGACCGACAGCAGGCGCAGCCCATCCCCGCCCAGCGCCGCCATCGCGCCCGCACCCGCGGCGCGCACCAGTGACGCGAGCCCGCGGCAGCGCGGGTGACGTCAGGCGGCGGCGCAAGCTCCTGACCCCGCCCCAGCGCCCGGCTCCGCCCCAGCGCACGGCCCCGCACTGTAACAGACAGACAAGGTGCGCGGTGCAGGTTTATTGAAGCAACAACTTCGCGGCCAACTGCCCCTTCCCGTCCCAGAGGACTCTTAGTAGCAGCCCAGCTCAGGATCCATGACCAGGACTCAGCCACTCGGACAGATTGGAGACTTCCTGCAGCCACAGTGCATCCTGCGGGAGCAAAGGGAGCCCGGGATGAGGACTCCGTAACGTCCAGGTGCCCGTACCTCCCGCCGCACCCTTTCGCGCAGTGCTCGCCGGGTTACCTCCAGAACTCTCCCCGGGCTCGCCCTGTCTGGCGCGGGAGCCTGGACGTGGACCTTGCGGCGCTCCGCCCTCTTCACGGTGAGGGAGGCCGCGGTGGGCTCCAGGCGGCGCGGGGCGATCTCTGGCGTGCCCGGGGCGCTGGCTGAATGGGGAACTTCCATTTCCTCCGCGCTCTGATGGAGGCTGCCCCTCTTAAGCCTCTTGTTTTCTGCTTGCCCGCTGATCTCTAGGATAAAACAGGCCCGCTTCATCTTATAAAGATTCCTCTCACCCCGTCTCTATCATCTGGTCCTGTCCAGAGCAAAAACTTCAGCTGTGGGGTCTTCAGGAGCAGGCAGACGCTGTATGAACGATTTCAGGCCTACCTATCCCCCTTGAGCTGGTCACTGGGATACTACCAAGCCCTTACTTGAGGGCTCAGGTGTCCTCAGCGACTTTTCACCCATAGATTGTTCATGGAATCTGCACTATCAAGGTCTTTCCTCACGGCCAAGCTCTGGTTCCCCTGGCCCAGGGGGGACAGGCCTCACCTTTCTCCTGCAGTGCCCATAGGCAGCTTTCCTATTCTTAACTGATTTCGCTTATGCAAACTTAAAGCAATGTGGGTAAATAAATACATGATTCCTGAGCCTGTCCTGGGAATGTAAATCAAGGAGCTTTTCCCTGGGAATAGCTCACACGTGCTGGAGGGATGCAAAGATGTGTACGCAGCCCAGAGGCAGAAAAGAGAAGGAAACTTACTCATGGGAGGGTGAAGAAAGGCTTCCCTGAGGAGATGCCAGAGCTGGGTTGGGGAGGATGAAGAGAGATACACCAGAGAGACAAGGGAAGGAAAAGGAATTCCACACTGAAAGTCATGCAAATAAACTTTATGTAAAAGCATAAAACATCCTATATATAAGGTATGGGATCCTAGCAAATAAATTTGAGGGGTTCACAGGAATCAGAGGAGGCTAAGAAATGAGTTTTTTAGCCATAGGAAACAAACAGGAAGACAGTGAAGAGTTTTAAGGACTAGAAAAATATATGGTTGATTATATAGCTTAGAAGGATCACTTTGTCATAAGTTTGCCTATATCAAACTAAATGCAGGAAGACATCAAATGAATCCAATTTATCTGTAAAGAACTAGATATATAGTGGAACCATTAATGGCAGCCTAAAGTAAGAAGAGCTGATCTCAGTGAGGTAGGGTTTGCAGAAGGAAGGTATCAGGAGAGAAGAAACTCAGGTACCAATGGGACCTCCCTGTGGAGCTACCTAGAGCAGATAAGGCTCCTTTCTGGCATTTAGGAGAGAACAGGCAGGTCATACCAATTTGAGAGTCTTGAACCCAGAATCCCAGTGGTTAACAGCTGGAATGGAAGATAAAGATGGAGTGTAGGATGATCACTGTTGAATAATGACCAGAGGAAGGTAGTGGAAGAAAAAAGCTCAAAAAGAGAGAACCAGGTAAGTCACTCTTATAGTGCCAAATTCTGTAAATAGTTCAGAAATGATAAAGGTAAATGCACAATTTGGTGATTAAAAGGACTTCCTAATGAGAGAACTTGCAGGTACAGAAGTCACAGAGAAATACTCTTAAGTTTGGGAAAGTGTAAGGAAACGAAAGGGGGAGAGTATACATGCAGCTTGTTTTGAGAATGTTGGTTGAGATGGGCTAGAGAGAGATTGAGAATAGGTGGAGGAGACAAAAGTCATGGGAGATATCCTTTTGAAAAAACGAAGGATTGACTTGCTAAAGAAAAAGATCTCAGAAGAGAGGGAAAGGTACAGAAGTGATAACTGACACAAGCAGGTCCTTAGAAAACTGAAAGGATGATTCCACCCCAAGCCTGAAGGGGAAAGGTTCCCTTACTAATAAGGCTTTACAGTGGGAGGAATACAAGTTGGGCAAGTTTACTGAGGGAAAAAAAGTAAGTGTAAAGCAGGAGGCTATGTTGGGGGTAGAGGCTGGATGGACTTTTAAAAGAATGGAGTAGCCACTGAAGAGAGAGGGCCAAAAAAAGGGAAAGTACTGATAAACCAAAGGCTCCTGAGTGAATGGACCATGGATGCCAGGGACATCAACACAGTTGTTCAGCAATTTTCTTCTTTGAAGCTCTCCACATGGAACACAGAATGCATGCTGCTGACAGTTGCTGGTTTTTTAGGGAAGAACAACTCAAATGATCTTCTAGGAGGTCCCACCTGGTTGTAAGCAACCAGATTTTAAGGCTCATGTTGCACAATAGAGAAAGCATGGGCTTTGGAGTCAGCTTGCTGAAATTAAGCCCTCTACCTGACCTCTGAGCCTGAGTTGTCTAATTTGTGGGAGGAGTGATGCAGCCCACAAGATCACCATAAGGACTAAATAAGTTTTGTGGAAGAGCCCAGCATCTCCCCAGGGTCCACAGAAGGTGTTGAACTAAATGTTAACAGTCTTCCTTCTGAGAGAAGATACCTATTCCTTTGCCTTTTCTCACTTCATACCTACTACAATGTTTTTTAAGTCTCCAAATGTGAATTAATAACACTAGATTATTTGCTTTATACAAACCTTCACTGTAACATTCTTTTCAGTAACAAACAGCCCCCAACAACATTCAAAACATGGTTCAATGGAAAGAATGATTCAGGAATACATCTTGGGCCTAAGCATAGACAGCATGCACTGTGTTGTAGCTGTACCCTAGAAAGAGGGATTTACCAACAGAGCACAAGGACTGAAGTCACAGTCCCCAAATTTCCTCAAGCCCAGATACTGTTTTGTCTGAAGGACTCAAGATCTATAGGAAAGCTTCTCTATAATATGGCTTGTCTAGAGATAGATCAGAGATAGGCTGCCTGGATTTGAATTCTGGATCTGTCATTTACCAGCTGTGTGACCTTGTGTAAGTTTATTGGCATTGCTCTCTCAGCCTCAATTTCCTCACCTATAAAATGAGAATATTGGTGCCTATACTGCATAGGACTGTTTTGAGAACTAAGAGCATTAGTAAACTTTAAAGGATCCAGAATAGTGCTCAGCAATTGTCAGTAACTATTCATGAGAACTGCTATTACCTCTGTGGCTGCTGGCCCTGAAGGCTGAGAGTTGGGTGGAGGCAGGTATGAAGAAAAGACTTCAGTATAAATACCATCAAATCACACACTGACCCTCCTCACAACACACATCAAAACTGAGGTGGGATCTATAACCAGGAACAGCTTCCAGAGCTCAAAAGAGCAGCAACTAATATGTGGGAGAGCTACATTATCAATACTGATGATCAAGAAAAGATACAAAGCCAGGTGTGGTGGCACACACCTGTAATCCCAGTGAGGCTGACGAGGAGGATTACAAATTCAAAGCCAGCCTCAGCAATTTAGTGAGGCCCTAAGCAACTTAGCAAGACCCTGTCTCAAGATAAATAATAATAAAAAGAAAGGCTGGAGATATAACTCAGTGGTTGAGCACCCCTGGGTTCAATCCCTGGGACAAAAAAAAAAAAGGAAAGATAAGGGAATTAATCAGACTGAGAGCCCTGAAATCTGCCCGTTACCTTCTTCCTCCCCATCAAATGCACCTTTCTGTAACTATACAACCCATATTAGAAATTTCTAGTCCTATCTCAGAAGACCACAATGGCAGTGGGAGCCAACCCCCCAACATCCCAGAAGGATGTTGATGAAGGTGCAGTGGACAGCTTGAAACCATATGTCCTACCACCCCAGTTTCAATCCAGGGCTTACCTGAAAAGCTACAGCCTTACCTGCAAGGAGCTCTGGGCTGTTCTCATGTGCATCCTCAATGTTCTGGGCTAAATCTTTTTTCTCTGGGGTCAGCTGCTTTAAAAATCAAAAAATCCAAGTGAGTTATTCAGACACATGAATGAACCCCAGTGAAATAGGAGTGTGCCTGAGAGTTTAGCCAATCCAAAAGGGCTGTTCTCCCCCTGGAACTCCCTTTTAACTTCCTCCTAGCTCATGGATCCCCCTACCTGGCCTCCAGCCTTCAAGGCTTCCTTCTGCAGCTCACTCTAGCACTGCTGACATATCCTTACTTCCTCTGAACTCCACACACTTGCCTATTGTTTGCCCCGTTCCTCAGGCTCTGAACATACTCTATATGCCCATTCATCTTTTCTTTCTTTCTTTCTTTCTTTTTTAACCACTGAGTTTCATCCTTTTTATTTTAATTTTTGTTCTAAGTTGCTTGGGCTGACCTTAAACTTACAATTCTCTTGCCTCATCCTCCCATGTAGCCAGAATTACCAGTGTACAACACTGGACCCAGCCCCCTATTCACCATTTTTGTGTGCATATGTCCATTTTCTAAACTTTAAATCACTTGGAAGGTCTGACTATTTATAGCTAGCAGAGTGCCATATAAGTGCTCAATAAAGAACTGACTGGAACAGTCAAACCTGGGAAGCCAAAGGGAACATTCTGTAGTCATGTGTAGCCCTTCAGAGCTCTGCCACACCAGTTGGTCCAATCTGGACAGAGAAACGGGAACTTACTAAGACCAGGACTCAATTCTCCCAGCTCCTCATACAAAGTTATAAAATATGTATCTTCTTCATGAAAATTAAAAGCTTATGCTTCAAAGGATACTTGAAAAGTAAACCCAACAAGAATGAAATACAATATATGCAAATCATATCTGATAAGGTACT